TGTCTCCACAGTCCCTGCTGGGATTACAGGCCTGTGACACAGTGCCTTGCTGATCTATCTGTGTGTCTATAATTACACACACACACACACACACACACACACACACACACGGATTAGTCAGGGTTTTATTGCCATGAGGAGACACCATGACCACGACAACACTTATAAGGAAAACATTTAGTTGGGGTGGCTGGCTTACAGTTTCAGAGGTCCAGTCCATTGTCGTCATGATGAGGAGCATGGCGGTGGGCAGGCAGATGTGGTGCTGGAGCTGAGAGTCCTACACCTTGCAGGCAACAGGAAGTCAACTGATGGTAACACTGAGGGATGCTTGAGCAAAAGAGACCTCAAAGCCTGCCCCTACAGTGACACACTTTCTCCCACAAGGCCACACCTCCTAATAGTGCCATTCCTCTGGGGACCCTTTTCTGTCAAACCACCACAGGGGGTAATATTTAATGGAGTCATGGCATCAGCAAACTGCCTCAACTTCCTAGCTTTATCTGTACACCATCATACCAGACCATCCGCTGTTCTGACTCAACCACCGCCTCCACCCAGCTCCTCTGTGCAAAGGCTGTGTACTGTGCCTGCTCTGACCCACCAGCCCCCACTTCTCTGTCTGCTGCCATCTGCTAAGTCTCACTGTCCTCCCAGATGGGTGCCTGGCTCTGCGTCTCAGTCACAAGAGCTGCGCTGGCTACCTTCACCCTGTGCTCTGCCCATCTCCAGCTTTCTGTTGCTTCCTCCTCAGAACCCTGCTGGTTTTTCACCAGCTCCGATCAAAATTTGTGATATTGGTTCAATACTTGTTCAGTATTTTGGTTGTTTCTTAGTTGCTCTCTTGCCAAACATCTAATTTATTTGTGCATAAATTCAGATGGTTTTTATATTTTATGAGAGAAAAATATTCTTGGAAAGAAGCAGTGTGCACAGAGGCTAATGGGCCGGCTACAGCATTCGCAACTGTGAAGAGGTTGGAGTGTTGCCATTTCAGAGCCCAGTTGCTGTATCTTGAGTGATATTCAGCCTACCAAATAGCCATTTTTTGGCCATCTCTAAGTCAGACCTAACATCCGCATAAACAGATTAAAACCCCCATAATGTATTAGGTTCAAACCATATTCTCCACCAATTTAAGGACTAAGAATCTGATCAGGTAATGTCTGAGGCTCATCTGCCTGACTGAACCCACTCTTCTGATGTCCTCACCAGTGTGTTTTCAAATTGCTTTGATTTATGACTTTCTTTGTTCTAATATTACAAAACCACTTCCTCTTTGGAAGACAAGGAAGTGGGGTGACCTAAATCTGTGCTTTTTCAGGCCATAGTCACTCAAACTTGGCTGCAGGATCAGCTATCTTTTATTCCCTTTTTGCTGGGAGCTGTGGCATTTTGTGTGTGTGTGTGTTCACAATTTTCAATTTTTGTCTCATTGGTTTAGTTTTTCCTTATCTAATTCAACAGCTGGCATACAGTAGGCTAAGATTTTTTTAAATTTTCAAAGATAACAGGATTTTCTTACGAACTCTGGAATGCATGTCACCTCATCTGTTGTGATTTTTTTTTTATCAGTTATTTATTTTGCCCCTCAACTCCTTTTATCTATGCACCAATGCCTGGTTAACTTTTAATGAATCTGTCATGTGAATGGAGGTTACTCTTAGGTCCATAATTGGAAGCTGTTCATGCAGAGGGGCCCGATACACGAGCTGAGCTTTCTTGTACAGACTTTGGGGAGCTGAATCACGCTCTCGGTAGTGGGCACCTGCTGATCCCTGTACCAACCACCTGGCATTCACAAACAAGCTGACTCTGTTCTCTGGGAGCGCACGAGTTACAGGACCCTAATTAGTTAGTGGCAGAAAAGGAGCAAGTAAAAAAAAATGTTAGTGATTTTTTTTTACATGTAATGTAGACTAATCAACAATGTTATATTAAAAGTGGTTTCTTGGCATTTTTCATATTGTAGGTTTGTTGTTGTTGTTGTTATATAAGTAGGTAGAACAGGTTTGGGTATTAATTTATAGCCTTGGTCAATATTGAGGAAAGAACAGCTTATGGGTCTTGGTCCCATGAAAGACAAACACTAGCCCTTTGGAATCTTAAACCTCTGGAATCTTGTTTTAAATTCTAAGCATACCATTGAAATCTCTGAATAGCGGAAGCAAAGGGAAAGCATGCAGTGTTTCCAGTCCGGGCTGATGGCAAAGTAAAAACAAACAAACAAACAAACAAAAAACCAAGGACATCTTGAAATTTGCAGGCAAATGGATGGATCTAGAAAACATCATATTGAGTGGTGTAACCCAGACACAGAAAGACAAATATAATATATACTATATATAATATATACTCATTCATAAGTGGTTTTTAAACATAAACCAAAGAAAACCAGCCTACAAATCACAATCCCAGAGAACCTAGACATCAAAGAGGACTCTAAGAGAGATGTAAGTGGATCTAATCTAAATGGGAAGTAGAAAAAGATAAGATCTCCTGAATAAATTGGGAGCCAGGGGACCAAGGGAGAGAGTTGAAGGGGAGGGGAGAGATAGGGAGGGAAGAGAGAAAAATGTAGAGCTCAATAATGTAGAGACCAAACTGTGCATTTATTTATCAAAGTAAACTTTACTTTGGAAAAATCAACAAGCGAGGGGCTGGAGAGATGGCTCAGAGGTTAAGGCCATTGCCTGCTCTTCCAAAGGTCCTGAGTTCAATTCCCAGCAACCACATGGTGGCTCACAACCATCTGTAATGGGGCCTGGTGCCCTCTTCTGGTCTGCTAGCATACACACAAACAGAATATTGTATTCATAATAAATAAATAAATAAAAAATCAACAAGCGTATATTCATATCTGGTCTCTCTTAAAAAAAAAAAAAAGCTCTGCCAAGCATAGAGCAGCAGCAGGCAGGCAGATGTGGCTTTCTTCCCCGCCATATTCTGTAGCTTTAAAACAAACAAATAAACAAAAAATCTGTATGAGTATGCTTTTTGTACCCTGTATTGACTACCTGTGATTGTTCAGAGACAGTGGTTGCTTTGAAGTGATATCCCAGGCTGGCATTCTGTAATAATCCTTTAAATCCTTTATTAACTTCTCCTCTCTCTATTGGCGTTTAACTCTTATTTTTAGAAGATAGCATTGAAGGTCAAAGCGGTATCTTTGTGACTGAACTCTACAAGTACTCAGCAGGAAGCCACCTACAGAAGGGTGCTGAATCACTGCAACTGGGAATGCATTCAAGTTCATCCTTCAACCGTTAACTAAAAGTAAAAGCGATCTCTCTCTAAGCTGGCAAGAGAGCTGGGCGAACAGGTCCCCCAAGTACAATAGCAAAGACAGTGGCTAGGACTCCAGACATGGCTGTCTGTCCATGCTCTTGCCTTTGTCACAAGATGGTCGTTTGCTTTCTAACTTGTCAGCGATGCCCATAGCTCACGTCATTATCCCATGGCCTTCCTTGTGGTCCTCACCTTGCTGTGCTGCTGGTACCCAACTGCCTTCAAACAAGACATTTGAGTTTTCTAAGCTCCAGGCTCCTTTCCTGCAACTGGGAGACCTGGATACCGACTTCAGCGTGCAGCTGAAGTCATGCAACCTGTAAAAGGCATGTCAAGCACTGAGAAGTTCATTAGGATGAGGGCTAATCTTCATTGTCAACCCAATTTGATTTAGAATCACCATGGAAACATGCCTGATGTGTCTATGAGGATGTTTCTAGAAAGGTTGAACCAAATTTGAAAGCTCCATCTTGAAATGGGCAACACCATTTCTCGGACTAAGGTCTTGGATTGAATTAAAAGGAGAGAACAGACTGTGCACCTGCGCTCATTGCTCTCTGTCTTCTGACTGTGGCTGCAGTGTGACCAGCTGCCTCATATTCCTGTGGCTATGTCTTCTCCTCCGCCATGTGCTGTGCCTCCAACAATGATCCTGAAGACCCTTCCTCTTGAAGCTGCTCCTTCTGGAGGTCCATCACGGCAATAGGGAAAGTAACCAGCTGGTTGGCCAAGGATAGCTTTATTCTACCATTGAGATCAGTATCCGGGTAAGGTCAGTAGAGGTTATTTGGAGAGTGCACTATAGCATACGGTGAAGAAAGGGAAAATGAGACCAAACTGTGCATTTATTTATCAAAGTAAACTTTACTTTAGAAAAAATCAACAAGTGTATATTCATATCTGGTCTCTCTTCAAAAAGTATGCTTTGTTTATTTTTAAACAGACGTGCAAGTTGATTTTGCATGCCAAATATCTTTCTCCTTAGCTCCCCTTGGAATATTTCCCCTCGAAAACAAAGGTGCCAGTGTTGTCCAAAACCTGGTTATTTTTTTTACCCTCCAGAAGTACTATTGTTGATATTTATCGGGAGGAAAGAAAAGCTGCAGGGCTCGGTCTTTGACTTTCATGTTTGTTTCAGCACTATAATTAAAATCTTAGATTTGTTTTGAAGATAAACATTTTGGGAGAAATTTAATAAATCTTGCTCTGCTGTGCAATGGAGCCACTATATCAAAGCGTTTAACTGGAGCTGTCGACTTCCTGCTGGTAGACTATTACTTCCAGCCTATTTATTAGCTTCTTCCTGTAGCCCAGGACATGCAATTTTCCTTCCACTCAGTGAAGGCACAGGAAAACAACCCTTTCTCTCCACTCGCCTCCAGCATCATGCAAGACAGGGCATGGTCAAAAGTCACAATATCTGAATTGGCTTTGATTATATTTATTTTTTTAAACTTAAGCTGTTCTCTAGTACAATATTTACTTGTTTAGTTAATATCATAGTTCATTTAAAGCTATGATAAAGTCAGATTTCAGAGGCATTTGAAACAATGCCTGAACCATATCTACAAGAAAATAACTGTCTCTGGCCTATTCTTTTGCATTTGAAGTAAAAGAATTTTAGGCAAAACCAATATAATGAAAATTTTAAAAAGAAGAAAAAATAATTTTAGATATCAGCTATTTACCAGAAAACAAGACTTTAAAGGTTTGGGTTTTTTTTTTTATTCACATCTTTTAATAGATTGTAAACAAGAGCAGGTACTTTTGACAGTAGCCTAGGAAATACTTTCTGTAACGCATCCCTTAGTATGGAATAATATGAAGAGAGGATTTTAAATACGACTCTGTCGGGTTTCTTACAAGCCTATTTCCCGGGAAAGTTTTATTTGGAAGCGTCCTGATCTCCAACAGAAATCTAACGCCACAGAGTTGAGCCGAGCGCATGTGGGGTACGGGGTGAAGTCATTGTGTCTCCTGTCCTCGGACACACACCATGCTGCATGGGCCAGGCGGGACGTGGGTGCATAGAGAGGGCGCTGGTCAGGTCAGAGGTGAAAGATGCTGCAGTCCCCTAGGTCGACGAGTTGTAAGCAACGGGAACCCATCATGCTGTTTCGCAAGATTCCGGAGAGATCAGTTAGAAATTGAACTGTGATATCCGCATATTTTGGAGAAAAATTCCCAAGCCAGGCGGATGTGGATGGGGATGAAGACATAGGCAGTGTAGACTACCATGGCGACAATGGTAAGTAAGATGGTATTGAACATAGACTGTTCCCAGGGCTCCAGGACAGCACAGCAGCTGATGATTTGGTATTGATAGTAGAGCCAGGCTAAATACTCCTTCACGCTCTTGAAATCCATGATTCCTCCTCAAGCTGTGGAAAGTCTTCCTGTGAGAGAAAATCATACCACAGGAAATAAATAAATAAATAAATAAATAAATAAATAAAATAAGAAACAGAGCACCCCATCTTCTGGTAACACACAGCAAACATCTACTGTTAATATTCCCATAACCTGACATTTCGGTTATTCTCACGCAAAGGGTGTTCCCGTCACTAGTCCTAATATAAACCTTGAGTGTTGTCCTATAATCGGCTTCCTTGGACTTTAATGTTTTAATGGTAGGCTAGAGAACACACTCAGTCTGTCCCCTGATGGAGCATCAGAAGCCTTCAAATGGACTGATATAGATTTCTGTCTTCATAGTTGTATACAATAAATTTCACATGGGCATGAAAACCTTGAGACACTGAAAAATAAATGGAGGATGAGACAAAGATTCCCCTGCTCGTGGACTGGCAAGGGCTAACACTGTGAAATGTTATCTGCTGCCCTACCAAAAGTGATCTACAGATCCAAAATTTCCCATATCAAAACTCTAACACTGTTCTTCCCGGAAACTGGAAGCAGTAATCATCAATTTCATATGGAAATACAGAAGACCTAGGATACACAAAACAATCCTGAACAACAACAACCACCAAACTGCTGGAGGTACCAATAGCCCAGATTTCAAATTATATTACAGAGCCGCAGTAACAAAAACAGCATGGTACGGACTTTGAAAACATGAAAATAAAGTAAAAGCATAATTCTCAAAGAACTATTACCAAAGAAAAAAGAACCTTAATCGCATGCAGTGAGGAGCATTCCTGATGAATTCACCTTGTTTTCAAGGTGGCCTCTGTTGTTTCTGTGGTGCTAGCTGGCCTGCCAGCTTGCAGGAGATTCTCCTGTCTCTGTCGCCCGTACTGCCATAGAAGTGTTGAGATTACAGATGCCCACAATCACATCTGACTTTACAGGTGGATTCTGGGGATCAACCTGAGATCACCAGACTTGTATAACAAGCCCTTTTACCCACTCATCGGCCCCTAACTGAACCTTTTAGGACTGCTACACTGGAGATTACGGAAGCCTCCAAACCACAGCAAAGTGATGACTTCAATAGGCAAGATTTCCCACGAACAGAAACAATGAAAGTGATGACTACAGTGCTTGGGGTCTGGCAGTCCTGCTAGACAACCCAATTTTAAAAACTCTTACTCAAAACCCTCCACAGTTGCTTCTCTGTAACTACTTAGAGTTCAAGCTTGGGCTGGGTGGAAGAGCCTGGGGTCTATTTATCAGGTAATCTAGAGCCAGGTGGTGCTGGAGGAAAGGGGAAGTCTTTATGGCTTAGACAGACACACCTCGTCTCCTTAAGGAGTGTAGACTAGTTGGAAGGATGGATCTTAAACACTTAGTACAAATGACTACGTAATTATCAACTGCCCCTGAAGGGCAAGTATAGTGTTCAAGGAGCTTTTGTAAACCTGATCCAGTCTGAACACAGTCTGAGGAAAAGATAAAATGACAGGGATGATTAAAGCCCAAATAAATAGAAAGGAAAATGATGAAGGGGGAAAAAGGAGGGGGGGGGCAGGGGGGGGCGAAGCAAGCTTGGGAGGAGGTCAAGGTTCCAGTAAAGAGAATGATATAAACCCAAAGAGGCTAAAGTAATGCCTTATGCCAGCATGAGGCCAGGAGAGGAAGATGGAGTTGATTAGGCTAATTATTCTCCGTTAGTTCATTGTTTGTTTGTTCCTTCTTTCTTGATAGGGTTTCTCTCTGAATCCTTTTCCTCCCAAGTGCCAGGATTAAAGGCATGCGCCACCACTGCCCGACTAATTATTTTTTCTTAACCTACAATTCTAAGGGTCCCAGAGGCTACTGACAGGAGGGAAGTTGTAGGTCAGGGAGGTGGGGCTAAATTCATAAGGTCCTGCACATCCTAAAGTCAAGATGAAGTGGATTTGCATATCACTCATTTTGGAAGCGCTTTTCCCCTGCTCTTCCCCTGCTCTTCCTCTGCTCTTCTTCAGAATCAACCATGTATTGAGGATTCATAAAGATTTGCAATACTATTTCCAGTTTTATTAGTGAGATATAATATTGCACTCAGGAATATCATTGACTTTTCTTCTCACTAGTCTCACTATTGTGTTTTATTTTTTTTTACTCACCAATTAATCTCCTGGCTGATATTTTCTACTTAAAAATTAACTTCTTGCTTGGGCAGCCCTAACAGGCAAGTATGGCAGCCTTTTGAAAAACCCTGTGTCAGAGGCCCCCTAGCCAAGCTGTGGAAACTGTGGTGCCCAATACTTAAAGCTGCTGATAGTCAACCAATCAGATAAAAAGTATATGAACATATGTTACATCAAAGACAGACACTTTGGTCACAAAAGTCACAATGCTTTATCAATGGATATTTTAAATATACTTTTGTACTAAAAACAAAACGTTAAAATTGATTGGCTCTTTCTACCTCTCATTTCTCAGCCCTCCAAATCCTTCTGACCTGTGAAAAGTGCTTTTATAGATTTATTTATTTTCATGTGTGGAGGCCAGAAGAAGGTGTCCAAGTTCCTGAAGTCAGAGTTATAGGCAGTTGTGAGTTGCTTGATATGAGTGCTGAGAATGGACCCTGGGTCCTCTGAGAGCAGCAAATGCTCTTAACCACCGAATTGCCTCTCCAGCCCCAGGGGAATGGGCTTTTATTATCTGTCTCATTTTAATCTCATGAGGTCTAGCAGTTAGTTCAAGAAGGCATGATTGCCCTCTTGGATTCTTCTTTTCATTTATTGAGAAGAAAATTTAAAGATGGCTCCCTATTTCCTATAATGCAAAGGGGAGAAGAGAGAGAGAGCTGGTTATTATTAGAAGGCCATCTGCTACAATTTATTGTAGAATATGCACTACTTCTAGGTTCTTGATTTTCTTAGATAATTTATTTCTCCTTGTGAGTCTGCTTTGTATTTCCTATGAGACAGTATTTACAATTAGAAGAAAAGCAACCCACCACCCCTGTAGACAATGGGATGAGTCACACGGGTGGGAGAGTTCATTAATTCAGTGAACAAATTCATTTTGAATACAGCTACGTAGCTTCTGAGTAGCAATGGCCTCAGAAGGGCACTCTCTGTCCCAAGGTCAGGAGGAGAAGCTCTTCTGGACAGTCTAACAGTCATGAAGTGCAGGAAGGTCTGGGAAGGAACACTAGATGGAGGCTGGAGGGGTGCTGGAAAAGTCCCAAGGAGGAAGCCGGAACAGATGCTGAAGTTTGGAAAAACCATGACAGAAAGATAGTGAAATTAGTTATCTGTAGTCACATAGAATTATATGATTGTCCCCCCACCCTGTGTATGTACGTGTGTGTGTGTGTGTGTGTGTGTGTGTGTGTTGTGGGATAGCCAGAGGCTGATTGATTCTGGGTGTCTTCCTCAAGTTGCTCTTCACGTTAGTTTTTGAGATAGGCTCTCATTGAACCTGGAACTCACTGATTTGGCTAGGCTGACTGGCCTGTGAGCTCCAGCGATCTGCTTGCCTCTGCTTCCTCAGCCTGGGGGTTGTGGTTGTGTGTCCATGCCTAGCTTTACGTGGACGCAAGGCATCTGAACTCGGGTCTTTACGCTTGTACTTGACTGACTGTGCCGTCTCTCCAGCCCCTCCAGTAAATGTCTTCAATCCTTAAATGTTTACAATAATGTACAAAATCAATATAGTTGCTTCTCTAAATATCTAAAGCCATAACCTAGAGATGATCAACAAAGGACCTGTGATGTTTGCTTTACTAGAGGCTGCTATGAGTCTCCGTATTTCTAGTTAGATACTTTTTAAATAATGATTGATCCTAGGTAGAAAAAGGGAGAGTTTTTTTTTTTTATAAAATTCCCTAAACTTGACTTTTAAAATTCACTTATATCTGTACATTGTGTATTTCCCAAGTGGAATTATATATTATATGGATGAACTGCGGCCTGTCTTCCTAGGTACCCGAGGCCACTCTACCACTGTGTGATGCTGCCCACAGCAAACTGAACGTTAGGGCAGTGTCAGGAGGCTGAGGACTCTGGGAAGCGGCTAGGTCATGAGGTCAGAGCCCAGGGAATTGTGCCCTTATAAGACAGACCCCAGAGACTTCCTTGTCCCCTCTGCTTTGTGAAGACACAGTAAGATGACAGCCCCATGAACCTGGATATGGTTCTCATGATTCTGTGCCTTGAGACCTGGGAGGAAGGTTAATCCCGGTCACAGTAATATTACAGTGGCCTGAGCCAAGACACACTCTCAAGGGAAGAGAAGAACAGAAGCTTTTTTAAGCACCTGTATTTCTATGGTGATGCTTCTCAAGAGGCCCTGATGAAATGTAAGGCAGTCGAGGTCCCCTGTAAGAAGGTCAGGATTGCTTCCTGAAGGAATGGAAGGAAGGAAGCGCACAGGAAGAGTGGTCTCTGAACCACTGTTTTCAGTACATGATAAAGTCTTGTCTGTGAGGACCATTACAATAGCACATGCTAATCTGCCTGCTGTCCTGCAAGGACAAGGGAGCCCCTGCGAGCTAACCTGGTCTCAGCACCACTCCCTTGCCCAGCCCCCATTCATCCCCTCACAAAAGAAGTTTCCCTGACAGTTCAGATTCTTGCCTGACAGCTGAAGGTTTTGATGTACTCTTCTTACAAGTCTCCCTCGCAATTGGTAAAATCTAAGGTTCTTATCTGTAATGTATAGCTTAGAACGGGGGAAAGCCTCATCACGGAGCTTTGCCGGGTTAAGGAGGAGGTTTATTTGAGACTTAGGAACCAGGGGGAAACACTACATCCTAATCTGGATCCAGTGAATGAAAAGGGTCTCAAGGACAGTGGAAAGATATCAAGGACTTAGAAGTCCCCAAAGAGGCTATTGCATAAATGAATAGATAGTGAGTTGTTATTTTCTAGTCCTCAGTGCTACGGCTTTTCAACCAACAGGTAATGATTTCACACTAGATTCATGGGCAGTAGGAACAGAAGAAAAGGTTCCTTTCCCAGACTAAGGGGGAAGCCTAACAGTTGTGACCCCCATC